TGTCACAGAGCAGAATGCACATATTCAGTTCCTCTGTAAACAAGCCAGCCTCACCAGAACACATTTAATGGTTTTAGCAGCTATGAAAGAACCAAGAAATCGCCCGACATCCCTAATTTTCTAAATCTAAAGAAAACCGGTAAAATGACTGGCTGTTGGCTGCCTTTGTGCATCCACTGTATGTTGGCGTCTGTGGTTCGGATTGTTTCTCTCGCTCTCTTTCAGACTCTGAATCAGCAGGTCCCTTCGGTAAACAAGGCAGAGTGATTGTTGGATTTGCATATTCCTGAATAAATTATATTTCATTTCTGAGATAAGCGGTGCACTACTGTTTGGTAGCTTTTCCTCCTCCTTCTCTTCTGCCTCCTCTCTACGCCATTCACGCATGCTGCCACGAATTAACCCTGATCATGAGGGACCGTGGCGAGTAAGAAAGTGCTGCTCAAAATTCATGTTTTCGGCGGAAGGAAAATCATGCCATTGGCCCCCGGTGGGGCCCAGACTGCCAACTACGTGTATGGTTAATCAGGGCTGATAATGATTCATGCCCATGTCTGCCACCAAGGAGAAGGATGGGAGCCACGCTTAGTGGTGTGAGATGGGGCTAGAAAGCCAGGGAGGAGAGGAGGTGGAGATTAAAGAGGCTGAAGCTACAGTTGGAGATGGAGGTGGAGAAGAGAAATGGGAAGATAAGGACAGTAGTGGAGAGGAGGCGACTCCCAAAGACGAGTCCGTGAAGGAAGGCAACGAAGGAATGCAAAAGAAGTCTAATCCGCTGGATTAGGCTGTTTAATGTGGGAGCAAATCACTATTTCGTGTGTGTGTGTGTGTGTGTGTGTGTGTGTGTGTGTGTGTGTGTGTGTGTGTGTGTGTGTGTGTGTGTGCAGCCAGACCAGCATATGGACATGTGTGCATATTCACAAAACTGTGTCTAATGGGCCTGGGTGAATGAGGTTCTTCATATGAACACATCTACAGACTGTAACCCCTTTTTAATTACAGCCCTGGCATGCTGAAGAAGCGACCACGAGGGAAGAAAAAAAAGAAACCTTCCATTAAACCACATGTAGGTCCAACACCCACCTCAATCGGTTCAGCTGATGGCTGCTTTTTTATTTCTCCCCCTAATTCCTCTCACTTCCTTGGGAGAATTGGGCTGGTGGTATTTTGGCTGTGAAAAGGAAACCATCGGACGGCAGGGGCATGAATATTCCAAATGACTAATGTTGCACATGCTTATTTTTGACATATCTGGCTTCCGCAGGGAAATAAAACACTTCTAATGCAGGGGGACCATCTGTTATCTGTTGCTGGTGTTTCAGAGCAGGCGGATTCGGTGCTCGCTCTTGTACGTGCGCGCACACACACACACATTAAGGATACACACAGGCATACAGATACACGCGCAGGAACGCGGGCAGACAGATCGACATGTTCTCACGCAGCGGGAGATGTGTCGTACGTAGCCGGTACGACACATGCGCGCACACACGTACTAACAGCAGAATCCGTCGGGAGCATGCACAACAGACACGCTCTAAACTCCTATACAAATTGAACACTCCTTTTTTTCCCCCCTTTTTTCTTTTATTCAGTGTGTTTGTCAAATGCACTGTAAATCACGGGGTGTAGGTGACTGGGAATGCACACAATTTTTATACTGGCCATAAATATTCTGGCCTGTCTCTTCTCTGCAGCTGGAGCAGGATAATATGCTGGCAGTGTAAAGGGGGGGAGGAGGATAGACTAGATGCACTAGATTCTCTCTTAGATTGGTTTGAAACTGTGGTCAAAGTAATAGTTGCAAGAGATATAGTAAACAAAGCTCTTGCATGCATGGATTACCTGTTTGTTATTTTCAGAAAATAGCTTCTGGGAGTGCCATAATACCCCTGTTCAGGCAATAAGGCGTTCTGGATAGCTAGATTTGCCTCAACAATATGTGATGTGTTTGAAAAGAGTCCACAGCACAGCTAACAGTGCAAAGATTTTAGATAAAGTGCAAAATAACCACTGAAATAATTAAATTGTAACACAGATATTGTTAAAGGTAACCTGGATTTTTTATTTAAATAAAATAAATATGTTACATACAGTAACATAATATATAAATGCATATTCTGTACTGTATATAAATGATGGCAGGACCCACATTGCTGTCACCTATTTATCTGTCCTGTTGGGGGCGCTGTGTAAGACACTCAGACCTATGCTATGATTGTTTTTTTTTAAACCATATTGGAGTCCATGCTGTTATCACATAATGCCTCTTAGCTTTATTAACAAGATGCACCACACAGACACAGATACCTGCTAATTAGTGTGAAGATATTAATTAAATTTAAACTAAAATTTCACTCCTGTGGAGGGTGTTAGTAGAATTAACCACAAGTTTATTTTAAATTGGTAGAGCAAAAAGATGTTTGCAGGATGGGTTAGCAAAGCGCAATTATGTCATAGACACAGGCAATATTAACTACATCATTACCAGACATTATCTGGGCTTCCTTATTAGTAACTCATCTATACTACAAGCCTCTGAAACTGATCACTTCCTTCTTTGTATACAAAGATGTGACAGACGTGTTATTCTCCATATATGAAGCTTTGTGGAGTTACTGCTTACAGTCCACTAAATACAATGATGTAAATGAAGGCCTTGTTTGTCTTGTGAGGTGCATTTGTATTGTCTGCGATCGCTGCTGTTGTGTGCTCCTCGCTGTTTGCAGTGTTTGACATAAAACTGATAAATATTGGGGGCTTAGTTCTGACGCTATTTGGACTCCCACACCTGGTTCAGCTTTAGAAGGATTTTAATTGGCTGTGCATCACTGCTGTAATGTTACACTCTCACCCCTGGTGGAAGTTTGCGATTGGTGATCCCGCGTTTTTGTGTTTTGTCTGATTAAAATGCTGTTGAAGGTTTGTGTGCTCCTATCGAGCTGTTATGAAGTTGACAATTAGATACAGACAGCACAACCCTTTTTTTCTACCAGGGCACAAACATCCTGACTTCTGCTCTGAAGTCGGCAATTTTAACAAGAGCGTCAAGAGTGGGAGTTGACTCATTTTTGGAGCCGACTTTAAGCGCCTGTTTTTTTTTATTTTTGGCACTTCCACGTCGGCCTAATTTTTTCAGCCACAGATTCTATTACCATTTATAAAACGTACCAATCGTGACGTTTTCGGCTACAGACATGGACCGATTTCGGTTAAAGCTGCTGAAACGCGTGCAGCACACATTTGACTTCCAAGAAAATCACAACCAAACAGAAAAAAATATATATTTTTGTCTTTGAAGAATGTGGTTATTATGAATTTTCCAGAGCACACCATGATCTTTTTTAAATGCTTAGTTTTTAAATGTACTTTAACAAGTGTGTAGCGCTGTAAAAACAAGTGCAAAGTGCAGGCTTTTATTATATGCACTGTTGAAACACATTTTAATATACTTGACATAAATTTGAGCATAATTACTTTATTTATGTGGCTACAGTACATGTGTATTATTCATCTCATTGTTTAGGCAATTTATTTTAATGTTTAGTCAAAAATATATAGTGAAAAAAAATAATATTTTTTTAACCCTAGGACACTATCGCCGGGTGATTTTCACCCGAGCAAATATATTTGATTTTCAATATGTTTTGTTTGTCTGTGTCATGGGTCCTTGTGTAGCTTCAGCATTGTCTTTGACATCTTTGAAGGCGTGGGTGTTTCCCTAACCCAAAGCCCACTTTCTCCTACAGGCATGTGTTCGGACGATTTTTACCCGGCAATAGTGATAGAGGATGAAGTAGGTTTTGGGTGGATTTCACCCAGTGATAGTGTTAGTGTATAAAATCAGGTGATCTTGCCGCATCTCAAGTCCTGATCTGTAGCGTGCTTGACATCCCTACCGCGGCACACTTGCAGGTGAGGCCAGACCAGTGGCAGCAGTAAGCAGTAGCCCCTTAGGGAGGTGCGCTGACTGCCCTGCAGGAGTGGACAGGAAGTGTGTCCACGCCATTACTACCCTGCGTCTATTTACTGCATGTAAGGAATAGGTAAGTAAGAGTGGGCCTGGAATTTGCATGTCATACTTATTTAGTGCAGTGATTATGACAAAATATCACAAAGTGGTGATTTCCAGGGGAATTCATATGATGAAAAAAATATTTTAGTCAACTGGTCATTTCCTCATGACTGGTCATTCTCCTGCAGCTGTTCGTGTGTCGAGACTGTGCTCAAATGTCCCAGGAATGGGTGGACCAAAGACCAACTTTCCAGTGTCATTATTTTTTTGTTTAGGATTTGTTTTTTATTGTCGAATTCCTAATTTTTCTGTAATTTTAGAGCATTTTTAGGCCCCCCCCCCATGACACTTCTTCTTCATTTAGTTAGACATGGCACAGTTGAAAATAAAAGAAGACCACTCCAATTTGTCATGTGTTGTCAGATTTTGATATATTTTGATGCCAAGTACTTTTTGGGTATATTATATTGGGTAAAAACCACCCGGCGTTAGTAATGGTGTTACGATTTATAGCGATAGTGTTCTAGGGTTAAATGAATGCTTATTCAGGTCAATTTTAATTTGACTTATTTGTAAGTGATCCAGTTGTCTGAAAAGTGTCTCCTCTCTGTTAGTCGAGCCCTTTTTACCATGAACAAGTATCTATGATTGCACCTTAATTTCAGGGAAGCTGTGCAAATCCTCTAAACACAATGCAATTACACACACCCTGTAGTTGATCCATTGTGGATACATTGTTAAAATAGTATCGCATTAATTAAAATAGGCCAACAAACCTGTCAGCTCTTGTGTGGAGGGTAAAAATCTAACAGAAAAAGAGATTAATGTATTCTGAGAAATCAACTCATAAGCATGTGCAGCACTGAGAGGCTTGCTACGAACATTATCTTGTGGCTACTTTGTGGTGAATCTTTAAAAGAGGGGTTTTAAATTGTGAGGGGAAGGGGCGAGGTCACTAGAGCAGTGGTAAGGTTTAATAACTCACCTCTGTCAGCTGCCTTTAAGTGAGGATCTTCACTGGAAAGACTGCCTGGAGCACCCTGCGTGTCTTTGATCTACAAGCACATAATGGAAGCAGAGAGGGGAGAGAAAACAAGGTCAAAGATCTGCACACTTGTGAGACCTTGGGTATCACCTGCGTTAATGTATAAAGCGACAACAAAGGCGCCCGTGGATGTGTGCGTGTGTAAGACATGAGAAGCTATTTTTTTTTCTTTTTTAAGAACATTTCAACTCAGGTCCATGACTCTAATATACACCTCCCACCAGAGAGAGGAGACACTTGTTTTAAAATACATGGTTCGTCTCTGTGCTGAAAGAGGCTCCCGGGAGCCTCTGCAAGACAGTTTAATGATGAAAGACAACATGTCTGGATGCAAGTGTTTGCTTTCAGATCGCAGGGGAAAAACAGGAAAAAGCCAAAACTATTTTGGGTCTTTAATTTTCTTTTAAAAGATGCCACGTTCATTTCTAAAGATTCAAACCGCGTCGAGGAGCCTCACCTCACGCAAGGTAGGTTTAGATACAGTAATCGCCTAATCCCTCCCAGAATAAATATTTTTGGAGTATTAAGCTGTGGCAGCAAAACATATGAAAAATATGAAATCTCAAAATATTTATGTTTATCTGTAGCTGGGAATCTACCTGAGGTTAGGAAACGTGGATTATTTCAGTCGAGCTGTATTCTGTTGTTGATGCTTGTAGGCATTCTGTATTAAAAAGAACATTTTGCAAAACATGCACTCTTTCTGGAGCTATCATGATGTTGAGGAGGACTAAATATGACAAGATTCCCACATATGGGACGGAGGAAATATAGGTCTGATTTGATGACTTGTCGCATGCTGCATGCTGTCACATTTTTTTCCTTCACTGGAAACCAGACTGTAAACTCAACTGTGCGAGTGAGAGGCGTTGCCAAATGCAGTGTGACTCACCACCTCTGAGGAGAACAAAAACCTGCTTAAGATCACGGTGACATCGCATGCAGTGTTTGCAGTTCCGAATATTTTTGACAGATTGGACTGAATACAAATGTGAAAATTGTCATGCAAGAAAGGGAAAAAAGAAAAAAACCTTAAGAGAACATGTCACCGAGTAACTCTGTTTGACAAGCATTTTAAAGAAACAACACACAACGTTACTCCCATGAAGCTTTGTGAGCTCAGGTTCTGAAATCTTCAAATCTGCCAGGGAATTTGTACTGAACCTATTCGATTGAAATTATGCTATTTTATGTGTTAGAAATCAGCAGGGATAGCATAAAGCAGGATAGACAGACGCAGGAACCTGTATTTTGAAGCCTTGATAACAGCTTTCATCCCACTGCCATCTTTTTTTTTTGTTAGAGCCAAAAGTGACCATATTCAGAGAATATGCTGGAGTGCTAAATTATTTGCTAATGCTTGTGACCTTGGTTAACAAGGTAAGGCTTAAGACATAGATCCCTGCTTATTGCATTTCAGCTACTCCTTTGTTACCGCAGCAGATAGCTCCACATGTTTGATTTAGCAGACTTTTACACAGACACCCTTCCCAAAAGAAGGTTTGGAATTGAACCAGCAGCCTTTCACTTGCATTTAAAGAATGTTCCAAACAGGACATTTATTAAAAAAGGAAAAAAAATACAATAGACACTATAGACACAAACATCAACGAGCAACACCTGCACTGGTTAGCAATGTGTTAGCACAGTTAGCACTGTAGCTTCACTGTCGCTAGCAGGTTCTGGGTTTGAACCTTCTGACTGGCAGGGCCTTTCTGCATGGAGTTTGCATGTTCTCCCCTGCACAGGTTTAGTCTGGCATAGCTAAAGCCCCGCCCCCACAGTCCAGTCCAAGCACATGCATATTAGGCTAACTGCTGATTGTGCTATGATGTCAACTATGATGACAACTCGTTAGCTAATGAGTGTGCCGTTTCACACCACAGATAATTCTTCATTCAATCAATCCTTCAATCCTTCAAACAACTTTTCGATTAAATGACCTGACATGATCGACCGATTTCATAAACTCAGCAGGTTTGTGTCAACTCAGAAAGCAGTTTCACCATCGACTTCTATAGGACCGGAAGTATTTTTGTAACTACAGCTATCACCATCTGGTGGCCTTTAGACAGAATTCAGGGAGGATTTTAGACACTTCTGCATTAGCATCTATGGGCAATATGGACCCATTCCCTGATGCTAAACTTAATAAGCAGTCAACAAACCTGAAAACAGATGGATTAAAACCATTTATTCTACCATGCTATATTTTGGGTATTTTATCGTGCATTTTCAGAGTCAGCCTCTAGTACCTTTTCGATAAACTGCAGTTCTGGTCAAACATTTCCTACTTTTTTTAAGCCTCTGAGCTGTCAAACTGTGAACATACAAATGCCAGTACAAAAGGAAAAATACAAAAAACAAAACTGAAATGATAAAAAAAAAAAAAAAAAACACAAGGTCAGCCAAGTAGTAGCTCACCCAACTCACCATGAAATGACAAACGCAACACTGATGTTGAGCACACTTTGAACATCCATTAGGTAACCATTGTGTGCACGTTTGATTAAAGTCTGACCAATAACTGTGAACTTTGGACGGACAGGTCGATGGATGGACCAGTCATTTGACTGGATGTGCTAAAAATCCCCAATCTACAAATCCCAATGAAGTGCATCGGTGTTTCAAGGACACAGGAGCTGATGCATTTATTATCAACACATTTACAGCTCACTAAACAGATTACTCATTAAAGTTTTCTCATTATGCTAACAGAAAACATAATTCAAGCACTATTATGTTGTTTTTAGTTGCATACAAATGCAATTTCTAAAGAGTAACAGTTGAAAACACAAACTAGCTGCTTTAAATTATTAATTCTTCTTCGTTCACCTTTTTTCACTCCCTGTGTGTTTATGCACCACTCTGCATTTAATTATGAATTATTATTAATCTCTTGGTCTCTCCCACAGCGTGTCTTTTGTCCTGTCTCCCTCCCCTCACCACTAACCTCTCTCAGCAGATGTCTGCCCCTCCCAGAGCCTGGTTCTGCCGGAGGTTTCTTCCTGTTGAAAGGAAGTTTTTCCTTCCTACTGTCACCAAATGCTTGCTCATATGGGTCACCTGACTGTTTCAGTTTTCTCTGTATTATTGTAGGGTCTTAATGCCTTAATGTGTTATCTAAATAAATTGGAATTTAATTTCTTAAAATGGTTCAGTATACAAAAAGTGAGGAGAGCTTAAATTTTAGAATCGCAATACCAAACATGCTGGCTAGTTACTACAATTAAATATTATGTGGGGACAAAAACAATTTATGCTAGCTTGCTAATATGCAGTATGCAATGTAAATAACATAACATACTGTGCTAGTCAGTAACTTGGTCTAGATGACCAGTGAATATATCCATGTATGCTTTATTTTTATTGAACATATAAAATATATTTCAATCCTTTATCCTTTTCCATTCATTTAAAAATCCAGCTAGTATTGCGGAGTTATAAATAGATACAGTATCTTCGTGACAATGGTCAAGGTTCGCCTAACCACAAAGACCTCAACAAGACAAGTTTCCTGCACGTAATGTGGTACTACCACAGGCAGAAATGATGGAAGCTTCACTTCAAGTGCAGTCTTCTCATTCTACCTATCTCTTCACATCCACATCATTCTCCAGTTGTTTGTGTCTGAGAGTGAGACACTGGCAGAGTAAAGCCTTCAAGCAGCCAAATACGCTGCTCTCAGAAATCAGCCGGCACAAGAAAACAGAGGCTTGCTCTTGAAAACTGTCTGCCTTTGAAGGATCTTTATTCTCCGCTCCCCAGCTGCTGGAGATGCGTGTAACTGCTTAGACATACAATGGGTGCATCGCGGGTATTTGTCCACGGAGAGCTGGGCCCAGTAAATGAAAAGAGGGGCACACATACCCAGGAAGCAGCTAATTAATTGACAAGCAGATATTTCGGAATTTATAATCATCAAACAGACTTCATTTTGTTCCCCCACCACCATCCTCGCCAACCCGTTATCCCAGGCGACTTACTTAAGAGACTTATCTTATAAATACAGCCCTAATCAAAATAAATGACTAAAAGCTCTGAGGGAGTTGAAGGCTATACACATTTACATCAGAGGAACTGATGCAATTTAAACAGCCGCCTCAGCACCGCTGAGTTAGGATTCTCTGTGATTTGAACCTAACTTATGTAATACTTCCACTGTTTTTTCTTTTCTTTTCTTTTCTTTTTTTTTTGGTTGTTGTTGTTGCTCAGTTTGGCAGACCTATATTCATGACAGCCAACTAGGAGAGACAGAGCCTCCCTCTATGTGTGTGTGTTACACTGAATTCCCACAGCAGCATTTGTGCGCTGTGAGTGTATCATATTATAAAGATTTTTTTTCTCACATCCTTTTGTGTCTATTTGACTTCACCGTGTGTGTGTGTGTGTGTGCTCGGTGCACATCTGTGGGATTGCCCATCTCTCAGCATTGGTTCAATGCTTAATATTCTTCCTTCTGTTTCCTACCGGGTATACATTTCTTGTAAAATGTAGCAGTGAGAGCGTTTTAACAGCCAGTGGCTTACAGGATCATTTACAGCTGGCCATTGACTGTCTGGCTGAGAAGCAGAGTGGCTGATGGATAGATTGTCAAAGTTTCACCTCGGTCCAAGTTTTGATGGATATGTTATAGCCACAAAGCCCAATATAACAGACTGCACAGACTGTGAAGCCGCAACTCACCGAGTATAAAAGCCCAACAGCTTTCTGTTGATTTAAAGGGAAGCTGTTAGAGAAATTTAATACACCAGCTTCATCTGTACCGAAGTCATGTTTAGGATTAATGTGGAGACAGCAGTGTTTATGACACGACGTGTATCTTTGCACAGGAACCGAGGGGCAACGGCTCAGTGTTTGCAGAGCTCCTCTGCCTCTTGACACTGTTGATAACACAAAGTGAACATGACTGCGGCATTTGTAGAATCAGCAGTGTGGAGTAAAGGAGGATCGACGTTGTCACGACTTAGAGTCAGCAAACCCATTTTACCATCCGACCAACCGAACTCA